ACTAGGGCTGCGTAATCTGGCACGTCTGGCTTGGTTAATGAGCTTAATCTAACATATTGGACGAGTGTGAGTGAAGTTAGAGCCATCCCTGAACTGACACGTTGAGTCGCCTTGCATTGGATGGCGACTCAACACCCTCTTTCCTTCAACCTATCAATCAAGCATAAGTATTTTCTACTCAACTTTCTACCACCGTTCCTCACATTCAACTTATTTCCTAAGCTATTAGTTTTAAAAGCCTCTCTTATCTTTATTTTAACTGCAGACGCACCAAAATCAGCAAACCTACTCGTTTGATGTCCAGTTTCTACTATGTGTTCGGCCACTTCTGACTGTTGGACCCAACTTCCTTTACAAGCATATTTGTGTTCCCCCAATCATTGTCAAATAGGTCGGCATGTCTTATCAAATAAGATCGATTACACAAGCAAACAATCTTGTAGTGTTCAAAGAAACCCTCACACTTTTTTCTGTTATGCCATCTTTTAGAGAGAAATATTACCCAAAAATGCTTGTAAATGAAGTTGGGTCCAACAGTCAGAAGTGGCCGAACACAGTAGAAACTGGACATCAAATGAGTAGGTTTGCTGATTATGGTGAGTCTGCAGTTAAAATTAAGATAAGAGAGGCTATTGAAATTAATAGCTTAGAAAATAAGTTGAATATGAGGAACGGTGGTAGAGAGTTGAGTAGAAAATACTTATGCTTGAATGATAGATTGAAGGAAAGAGGGTGTTGAGCCTCCATCCAATGCAAGGCGACTCAACGTGTAAGTTCAGGGATGGTTCTAACTTCATTCACACTCGTCCAATATGTTAGATTAAGCTCATTAACCAAGCCAGACGTGCCAGATTACGCAGCCCTAGTCATTCCCTTCCTCTGGTGGTTAAACTTTAATGACCCTAGACTGAGAGGTTAGGAGTGTGGTTTCATAATTTGGCTTAAATGCTTACAAGCTCATATATCATTATTGCAACTATACTTGCTTACAGACTTACACAGTCTTGGTCAGGACTTTCTCTTTTATTATTAAGCATTGATCAGAGCCTGACATTAGCCTTTTGATAACTCTCATTTAGGACCGGTATTGCGTATAGACGCTCACACGCACACACTCAAACAAAAGTGTCAGTACCAGTATGAAAGATGATTAGCCAATCCACTTTATATCTAACTATTTTTTTAAATTTTCATTTGCTTATTTTAGTCTATATAAGAGGCAAGATAAAGCCGGATAGTCTTTCCCTAGTGTTAACGTGAGACTTTTACAGGAATGAGACCCAGCTCTGATGATGTCCATCATATGATGGACGAAAGCTCAGCCCGTTTTCACCCGAAGCGAGGGAGGAGGTTTCGTGGATTGCATCAACCTGAACGTCGTATAAAGGCCAAACGGCTGCAGTAAAACGGGATTTATTCGTCCTTTTCTGGTGAGATCCACCAACGAATCTCTTCTTCATGCATTTTCATACGAAATAATAGTCCCCCCCAAGAATAAATATTATTTGTATTTTATCTAACACAGGTATCCAGTATAATGTATTGACCTTTAAGAATCCTGCTAGAGGTCAGACATTGCGAACTAATTATAGGCTGCTCCGCTCTATTTTATTCTCTCCTGACTGTAGCTTATATTGACACTCGTGAACAGGAAGTGGAACTATTAACATGTTTTTACTATTCATTATTTTTTTATTATGCCTTACTGGATTTGAGCCCCTCATGCTTAATCTTTTTTATTATTCGCTCTTGAATCTCCCCTTACTATTTCACTTAAACTTAGCATCCTTTTCTCTCCTCAGGAGGGTATGCGTCAGGCCCTGGAAGATATGCGTGTGGAAGACACAGGTGTAGTTTTGAAAAATCTGAACGACACCAACAATCCAATTTTGAAAAAACGCAAGATCCATCAGTTAGCTGCTGGGGCCTCAGCCATCCGTGAAGAATCTTCTGAAAATTCTGTTGTATAGTGATTTATCAGTGTCTCCATTAGCTTTTTGCTTCCTAATATCCTGCATAATTTTCATTTCACCCCTCCAAATACTGGCCTAAGCAGGTTTATTTGCCACTGAAACGAATATTGATTCGTTCCTCCTATACTATGGCCTTTTTTGCATAATAGGTATCTTCGTAACTCTACATAAAATCTTTCATATGAATTATTTTGTACACACACATATATATATATATATATATATCAGCTACCAATTTAATTCTCGAGAAAATATCTGATTTTTATATACTTAACTGTGCTTTGTGTGTCTTTGTTAATTTATATATTGTTTTCCATTGTCTACATATCATAAAAACGTGTAATGACTTAATTTATTTTTTTCACTTATTAATTTTTCGCATCGTACCTCTAAAATATGTACCAGTTTATTTTGATTGGGCTTTTGCTTCCTATTTCTTCGCGACATTTATCGTTGTTAATGAATTTAAGATAAGTTTATATTCGTAAAACAATTACTTTGTATCCTGTAGTCAATTGCATTGAACGTATTGTTCACTGTTTACGATTTTATATGCATTGTGTAAATTTGCGTGTTGAAGATAAGTATTTGATTCAAATTATACATGATAAGTTAATTAATTCGGCCATTTTGCCAAGGGAATGGTTCATTTCACTTGGTATAGTGGGTTTCCCTTTTAGTATAATTAAGTAATTCAAAATGTTTACCAAAAACGGTATCTAGGACCATTTATTTAGGCCCAATTACTATTCGCATATACAACATACGCGTAATTAGATTGTCTTCTCGCTACACTAAAACCCAAAAATACTATCCCCTGGTAAGTCGATAAGATACGGTTTTTAGCTAGTTGCATTTCCCCTAGTGCTTTTACCATATGCTTTGGTATGCATCTTGATTTACCTGGTTTTGTTAGTAAGGAGTTAGAGCAGTTTCAAGTGGCTCGGTTAAAAGTAGTATTGGGGAGGGTGTTAACAGATAACACTAATTAATTAGAACCATAATCTGTCTAAGACGAGCCCTTTATATCTTACATGAAGCGGATCTTCTTAAATGACAAGATATAGCTGACGGCCTAGGCGAGGCCATAGATAATCGGCTCAAAAACTTTAATCCATTAGAGCGATTTAGTATCAGAAATGAGAAGTAGTAAATGTATTTTTTTAAGATGGCGTAATCTAATTAATTTATTCGGCATAAATAATTTATAGTGC